TTGTTTGTCTCATTTGTCTCTATGTGTCCCTGTGATGGACTGGAGACCTGTCCACTGTGTCCCCTGCCCCTCGCACATGTGACTGCTGGATATGGGCACCAATGACCCCCACGACCCAAAAAGAAGAAGCGGGTAAAAGATAATGGATGGAGTCTCTCTGTATGAAAGAACACCCTTATTCTTGAGCATTAAGCTATGTTTGCATAATTAAATCAGATTTTTTATTAGTTTTCTCTGTGTTCTGTCTGCGAGAAGAATCGGGTATATTGCTGATAATAAAAAGCAGCCGTCTCCAGGATGTTTGTGCTGCAGGGAAACAATCTCATGGGGCTTCAGGTTGTTTTCCAAGCACTCTGATAAGAATTTAAAAGGGGAAAAAATAAAGCTGAGAAAAGATGTGTGTGGTTATAAAACCCAAGTGTTTGTAACTGATGTTCTTCAAAGAGTTTCTTTTATTTCAGGTATGAAAGTATGACTGTGGAGGAGTAACAGCAGGAAAAGTCTTTGCTCCTGAATGTGATAGGAAGCAACTTGTTATCTTGCAGGGCATCCAGAAGTGCTGTAAACTGGTGCAGCAACGCACCTACATAAAAACAAGCCTTTGTCAGATGGAGAGAGCTCATCTTACTCTGATATGCAAAGAAGAGGCATGCTCCCCCTACGACAACAAAAACATTGCTGTGTCACATACCAGTAAATAGATGCTGCCTCTCAAGGACAACACAAGCTATTATAAATTACCCACAGTTTTTACTTGACTTTTATTCATCTGTTGAAGTTATTAGCAAGCAATGATTGGTAGAAACAGTTAGGGGTTGTAAAAAACTGACTGGAAAACAGGACCAGGATATGAAGGAGTAAACAAATACAATGAAGAGATTCAACAGGAGAAATAAAATCAAATTAACTTTGTTTATTTAAGTAATTACTTTCCAAAGTGCAGTCACGCATAACATTATTCACTACAGTTAAATATTTCTATACAGTAGTGGAAATTATGTAATCAGAATTCCAACTTTAATTAAATAATTCTAATCTAATCGCAGAATTCTGAACTTTTTCTCACAATTATTTGATTAAAGTCAGAATTCTGATTTTTTTTTTTTAGGGGGGGGAGGGGGGACCATTTCCCTAATCCTCCTTCATATTTTCTTGACAGCAATTTGACATTTTTTTTGTCTTTTTAGTGGCAGAAACAGGTTTCCAAACAGAGTGGTGTGCATTCCATATACTGACCATTGGTCAATGTCATGGTTCCTTTTTTTCTTTCATTCATTTTGCATATGTAAAATGAAACTTATAACCAGAAACAACAAGAGTTTAAATATCACAAATGTGTGAGTAAAAACTCTATTTTACATGCATACAGTATTCACTGAAACTAGGACACACGTATGAAACTCAAATTCCATTAATTGTGGATACGAAAAAGCATCTAACTTGTCTGAAAGGTAAATAATTTTGAGATATCTGAAATATTAATTGTGAAAAAGAAGAAAGTCCTTACAAATGTCTAAAACGTTTGTAAATGCTTTGAAGACACTATTAAATGATAGGTCTGCTTGCCATACATCATCCCCGTAGTCGGGTGTGTAGTCACGTGACCCATGTCAGGGAGCAGTATGGCGGACATGCATGTGGAGCCTCCAAACAAACAGCATCACTTGTCCAGCTAACCATCTTTACCGCGCGTGAAACCGGGCCAGTGGAGCCGGAAGCCACAGCAGAATGGACGAGGAAAACAAGCTTCAGTTCCCGTCGCTGCCCGCCTCCAAAGAGGACCTGCTGGTGAGCGCACAGCTGACATGTCCACACTGACCGAACCGGCTAATGCTTATGCTAACTTCCTCTTGAGCTTGTTGGCAACTAGCGGGGAGAAAATACCTAAAATACACTCAGCGCGGCATTTTGTGTAACTTTATATAAACACAAGACTGTAATAATAACACGTCTGCTTTATTTATTTTTTTATGCGTTTGCAATAAAGCAATTCATTCAGCTACAGCTACCTAGCATTAGCCACGTATGCGCAAATAAACTAGCATTCTCTTTTCTTCGAGAGCATCGAGCAAAACCTTTCTTCATTTAAAATATTTGTTTTGATGTTACAGGACTGGGCTTATCCAATGAGACGAGAAATGCAGGTGATTTATTTGACTGTAGAAAATGTTTTCCATTGTTGTCAGTAATTGTTGCATCAGTGAAAGGCTGACTTGTTTTTAATCTTCAAAAACATGTTCATACTCTGACAAACTTCAATATTCACATTTAAAGTTACTCGTGATAAGTTGTTCTATCAGTACTGTGGAAATCTTGGAAGATGATGACATTTTAGTTTCCTGCTGTTATTGATGTTTTTCTTTCTTTTTAGGAGATTTTACCTGGACTATATTTAGGTCCCTACTCTGCTGCAATGAAAAGCAAGGTATTTTTTTTAAGTGTGTAGACACTAGTAGTGAATATAGACAAATCTAAATAATGAAATGAAAACTTGGTGTATTTATTTCTCGTTTTGTTTGTTTGTTTTTCTTATTTTGTCTTTGTCTAGCTGCCCACTCTTGAAAGACACGGAATAACGCACATCGTTTGTGTTCGCCAAGACATTGAAGCCAATTTTATCAAACCTAATTTCCCTCATACGTTTAGGTAAGAACACAATTATTTGATCCGTTTTGGTTTATTTATTTTAATGACAGTGCTACATTTGAATATGTGTGAATCTGATTACATTTTGCTTGTCTCGTTCAGATATCTTGTTTTAGATATTGCAGACAATCCAGTGGAAAATATAATACGTTTTTTTCCTATGGTGAGTTCTACGTTTAGTCTTTGACTTCTTTGTTGGCTATGGCGTTGACCGTTTTCATACAATTGTTCACTTTTTGTTGTTACAGACTAAAGAATTTATTGATGGCTGCTTAGCAACAGGGGGTAAGGATGTGTGTGAATTATTTGTCATGCTCTGGATGTTGAGTTTTTAACCAACAGTTTCTTGTCATGTTTCTCTAGGAAAGGTACTGGTACACGGTAATGCAGGGATATCAAGAAGGTGAGGCATGTTGTGTTTTTAACATTAAAACATTGCAACCAGAAAACAAACAAAAAATGTACACTAGGGATGCATGATATTATCGGCATGGTATCTGTATCAGCTAGGGCTTTAACAGACTACTCGAGTAATCGACAGGTCGATTCCTAGGACATCTATCAAGTTTTTAAATTTCACGTCATGTGTCACGTGATCCGCACTGGGCTACTAGTAGAAGCTACCAAATAGATTCCTCCCAGCAGATGGACTGAGCAGAGCAGGTCCAGTCTTGGCAAACAAGTAGAAATGCATCAATAGTCTGGAAATATTTCACTAAAGATGAATCTTCTGGTTCAACTACCGTAAGGAAACAGAAAATGAATCAACTTCCTGACTGTTTGGAGCTGTTGCGAACCGGTGTTCGACCATATTCTGTGATCACCGTATATTGTGACCGTAGGGGGCGGTGTTGCATGCACTGTTGCAGGTCACAGAATATGGTGTAACACTGGGTCCAGTGACCGAACCAGATTCCTTCTGACCTTGTTTCACAAACAAAAAGCAAAAAATATTCATCTCTAAACCTATAAAAAACCTATAAACATATTAATCTCTAAAACTAAACCTAATGCGCACCACAGCTGGCGGTGGTGCACGGTGGTCGTCCGCCCCACTGTTTGTAGTTTCATTTTTGACGTGCTGCACGTTATTTCTTTCACTTTTGCAGCTTAATAATAATAACTAATAGTTTTTGTTTTTCTGTGACTTATTTGCAGTATGATAAATGGTAGGAGCATAATATACTCTCCCAATGTTTTGTTGGTCTTTTTTTTTGTAAATAATAAATGACGTTTTTTTGCGGTTTTATTTTTTCATCTTGAGATCCTATGACGTCATCAACTACTCGAGTTTTATTAGATTAATGTCGAGTTTAAAAATTATGTAGTCGACCAACCTGTAGTATCAGCTGATATTAGCGATAAAGTTAAAATATTGGACATTTCATCAAAAAAACCTCTGATATAAAAAGGCTTCTGTTTTAAGTTAATTTTTAATTTAAGAAATTGTCACGTATACAGTATTGATTAATGCACTACTATGTATGTGCTTTTCAATTGTCGCTTGTGAACAGGTTTAGTTTAGATTTGTGAAAATTTACAAATCGGCCGATACTTGCATGAGAAACCGATTTTACAGATTTTTTTTTTGTTGTTGTTGTTTTTAGTTTTAACTACAATTTTCTGAACTTCATTTATATCTCAGAGCACTACCTCATGGCCAGTTAAAACAAGTTTGTATTGTTTCTAGGATATTGTTCAAGGGTATGATTTCAACAAAATAAGATTGAAAAATTGAAGGTGCATTGTGAATTTATAACACCCGACAGTGTCGCTTATAAAACAAAATGGGCATCGGACAAAATCGGAATCAGCAGGTCAGACTTTTTAGAAATCTGTGATTGGCCAGAAAACTGCAATCGGTGCACCCCTAATTTTCACTGTTCTAGTGTTGTCACTATGTTAGAGAGAGTAAATGTTATGAATAAATTTGACATTAAACATAATCCAAGTTGAAGTGTTGCGTCATTTTCAGTCCCCTTTTAGGCATCTGCATTTGGTAGCAGGGCAAATTATGTAGTATTTTAATTCCACAACAGAGAAAGCTATGTCATCTCTGTAAGTAGGTCTAGGGAAAAAAAAATTATAGGTATTGGTTATCAGCCAAATAAGTTTTAACATATCTGCATATTGGATATCGTCCAAAAATCCAATATCATGCATCCCCAATTTCTACGTATATTAAATATGTGTGAACTAGATCTTGAGGCTGTTTATACTTCTTCACTTCTTCCAGTGCTGCCTTAGTGATTGCATACCTTATGGAAACATTTGGGATGAAATACAGGTGAATTTTTTTTTCTTCTCTTTAAAAATTACTTTCAGACTAGTCATCTTACAGTTAAAAAATATCCTTGTTATTAATTTTTTTATGGACAACCCAAAACCATTGTTACAGCTGTTTATTTAAACGTGGTGGTTGTAACTCTGCAGGGATGCATTCAGTTATGTCCAGGAAAGAAGATTTTGCATCAACCCTAACGTGGGTTTTGTGCATCAACTACAGGTAAGACCAACACTGAGTCGATTTGGGCTTTTACAGTTTTTACATTGTTTTTCCCACTAGTTAAAGAAATGTAACTTCATTAACTTGATGCACTAGAGTTGATGTTTATTTAGAGCATAGATTGCTGGATGTTGTAGCATAAGTTAGTACTATCCGAAGCAGATAGTTGAGCCAAATGATCAGATCAGTTTCGATGTTTATACTGGTGGATATAAAGTGGTAATATTTATTGGGATGGGGGTGTCGTTTGTCTTTTCAGGAATATGAAGCAATCTATCTTGCCAAATTGACCATTAAAATGATGTCGCCGATGCAGTTGGGCCGGTCGTTCTCTCTGCAAGCTGGTATGCCAGGTAAGTCATTACTCTGTGGGAATATTACCAAGTTTTTGTATTGTCTGGAGAATTTAAATATTTATTTAATTGTTTAGTTCTTGTGTTTCAGACACATACAGGGTTCCTACACTGGAAAAGTTGTAGGACCCTTGCGCACAGTGGCGAGCAAAATGTCTTTTGAAATATTGAAAACTTGAATGTTTCAAGTGTTAAGACCCTGAGTCCACATCTTTCATGGATCCTGCTTCCTAACATTTTCCTCTGCATTAACAGAAATGTTCAGGCTTTAAATTTTAATTTAATTGAAACATTCTCTTTAAAACGGGGACGAATGTGTACGTTTTCATTGTAGATGTTGTAGAATTAACGTGACTTTTTTTTAAGTGATTGAAGCAACAAATTGTAAAAAATGTAATTTTATTTGACAGGAAGCCGCAAACGCAGCCTGGAGGAGGGAGACGATTTTGGGGCGATGCAGGTCACGGCAACACAAAACGGATGAGCTCTGCGGATATTAAGCTGCGTGGCACTGTGCACTCTTTTTTTTATTTTTTACATTTTTAATGGGATTAAAAATGTAAAAATTTGAACTTTTTCTAAGGGGAAGGGAGGAGGGTGGGAGGGCAGCTAGTTTGTGTCTGAGACATGGAGAGCTGATGGACATGGGGCTAACTTCTTTTTTTTCTGAGCTGTATGCACTGATGGGAGTTTTTGCAGTTTTATAGTATTTAAAGCATTTTGCATTTGCAGAAGGACAGAATTGCAATAATGCGCTTTCAATACTTGAATTAGTTTAGTTGACCAGACTGGGAACGTTAACAGACTGTTGCCCAGTGGAGGGCGTGAGGAGTGGCTGTCTTTATTTCAGGAATAATAGAATCATAAACCAACATCAGGCTTCAGGTGGCACTGTTGCAAACAAAAAAATAACACTACTTAATAAAAGTCCGAAGTACTGTACACGTCTCGTATCATTTGTTCAGTTCTGCTTTTCTGAATATAATCGTCACATTTTGAGGGTTTTGTACATTCTTATTCATTTTACTGTCGTTTAATTTTTAAATGTGCCAGATTTACCATTTGAAACCATCTTCAGTCATCTTAATGTAAGTGTCAACATCAAGGTCAGATTGTCCAAATACATGGAGAGTGTGAATGTATGCAACCTGGAATTTAATAACCTGTACTTACTGCAGCTCAAATTACATTTTAGTAGCACTCCAACTGGAGCATATGTGAGAAACTGGTAAGTTGTTGATTTTTATCTTAAACTTCAGTGTAATAAATGTAGGGAATATAGATGCCCATTTCCAAAAACTATTTTTCCAAGTACATTTACAGATTTTATAATTTCCCGTTTTTACAACAGTGTACACAGAAGTTACTTTGTAGTTAAATTAGAAATACAAGAAACACTTGATTGTAGAATATTTTATTGGACTGCCGTTTGGAAATAAGTTAAATTAAATACATTCCCTTTTTCCAGAAGAAAAAAAAAACAATTATAAAACTACGAAAGGTAAAATAAAAATTTACAAAAATTATTTGTTTCCCATTACAAAATGCCAACTGTTGACCAAATATAAAACCTAAAAACCCTTGATTCTTACATCTGCCTCTTAACTGTTATTATTATTGTGGTCCACTGGAAATGTTAACAGTCTTCATTATAATAATAATAATAATGTCATCACAATATGTTTCCATACAATGGCGAAATTAGTCTCTGCATTTAACCCATCCACCACCAGGTGGTGCAGTGGGCAGCTATTGAAAGCGCCCGGGGGGCATTTTGGGGATGAGGTGTGCTGCCCAGAGATGCCACGTGATGTGCAGTGACTGGGGATCGAACCTGGGACTTTGGGGTCCCAAGCCGGCTGCCCTTTGTGTCTTGTAGCATTTAGAACTTTAGTTTAAGGTTTCCAGCAACAAAACACCTTAAGATAATATTTAGTACCGATCTGACAGATTAGACAAGTAAAATGAACCCAAATCCCATTAATTGTCTAACCTTTTATTTATTTATATATATATATATACATATATATATATATATATATTTTTTTTTTATTATTATTATTATTGTATAGTATGTAAAATAACCAAATTTTATATTTTTTTATTGTAAGTTTACTTACATTTGTTTTCCGGTTTATATGAAACTGTTTTCAGTGAAACCAAAGGAACAACATTGAATTTACAGTAACTGGCATTTCTTCAGCTGGGTGAAGGGAAATGTCCGCAGACGTCCACCCTGGTGAGGTAGCCCTGGTTACCAAAGGGGCGAATAAATTTCATAGTTTCAATGTACAAATATTCAAGTGTTTTGAGATCAAAAGGTCTCATATAATTAAATTATAACACAACCGTAAACTCAGCACCAGGGATTTTCCCCGGTGCTTAAGACCATCATAACAAGTGCTGATGTCATTTGTAGAAACGGTCCATGAACCAGGGTTTCAAGCTGCAGCCTCAGTCGAAGAATCTGCACTGCATGTATGTCTCATCTGAAGCACCGTAGCCAAATTTTTGGTAGAAAGCCACATTTTTGGGTGCACATTCTAGAGTGATTTTATAGCAGTTCAGTTTTTTGCTGAGAAGAGTGAGCACTGACACTAACCTACAGAAAAACAAAAGGAGAAACCAGGGAAGTTTAGTAAAGGTCCTTCTATAGGAGGTCATTTTGAAAAGTCCTTTGGGATTTGGCAAAGAACTATTGAAAATGAAACAAAACATCAGGCTTTTACTCACAGTTTCCCCAGCTGCTTCCCACGGCACACATCGCTGACTACAACCTCCTCCACCCGACCCCGCTACAAACAAAAACAAACTGTTTCATTTTTGCTCCTTTTCAAAATCAACTTGTATAACTTTTTTATCTCTTAGAGAAACACTGTGATTGTAACTGTCATTTATGGCGAACAGATAATTTAAATAAATATTAATTGGTGCATTAATGTTTAACTTATGGGAGTAGTGATGAGGAAATTATAAAGAGATAGTAATATCCAAACTGCTTGGTGAGTGCATTATACCTTGGCACAAGAGTGGATGAACTTGTGTTCGACGATGAGCGTGGCTGTGGCAACGATTTGACCCAGATTTGTGTCCTCCACCACAACAACATAATAGTCCCCTGTTGTCTTCATGTGCTTGAATTTATCTGGTAGTAAACCAAAAGACACGACAAGTTTCTAAAACATTTTGTTGTTTTGGTGTAGTTGCTGGAATGTGTTATGACAACCCCAAGGTTTTTCCCAGGGCTCCTACATTTGTGTAGTCTGGTGTGTTGCAGTTTCCCAGAATGACTAGAGGAATTCTGCCATGTTCTCAAAAGAATACAAACCTGGGTTATGTCTGAATTCTGAGTTCCCCTGTAGTTTTGGCTGCACTCGGCAGCAACATATCAATTTCATTCTCGTGCGTTAATTAAATTTTTAATAACTTTTTAGGAAGAAACAAGATATTTAAGTTAAAGACCACTTGCATGTTAAGGGTAAATACTTAAAAAAATATATAGACAAAATGTCACTAATTATTTTGTAGTTTGATTAAATGTGGCTTACTGATAAAATGCTCCGGGGTTACATCTCCAGTCTGGGTAAGTTGGGATAAAACCTTGAAGAATCCTGGAACAAAAAAAAAAATTATTCTGTGTCTCTTTTTAGTTCATCTAAGCTGAATATTTATTTGAATTACTGGTCTATGATATATCAAAAATAGAAATATGGATCAGGAAGGTGATGTCCAGACTCACCTCTGTTAAAATCTGCTGTGCAGAGTGGCCTGAGCACCAGGCCTTCTCCTGGATTGGACGGTGAGATCAGGGGAGAGAAGGGGACAGTGTTGCAGCTCCAGTCCAACTCCTGAAGCAGAGAGGGCTCAAAGAGCGGAGTCTCGTCCAGCAGCATTCCACAACCTCTGTCTAGGAGACATACACATCTGTTCAGAGCAGAGAGCAAACAGACACAACAGCCTGAACACTATATCTGAAATAGATAAAACTTCACCTTGTCTAAATATAAAACCTACATGCATTAATAGAGTGCAACAACACTGACTCTGGAAGTATCTGCTCAGACTTACAAAGAACTTTGACCTGACAAACAACTTTACTTGGCAAAAGGTTTTCAGACTACAGGTTGGCAAATAAGCTGGAAAAACCCGTACATGAAGGGCACGCCCACATGCAACAGTTCATATCATTTTACAATACATTATGACGTCTACATTCATTCATGACTCCTCTCTTCCAGGAGAGGGCTAGACCTAGTCCAGGATGTGAAATGTTGATGCCAACCCTTTACATGAAGCAAAAATTGTGAATGGTGTCTTTAACCTCTTAAATCTCGTTTCCATGGCAACGAAATACAATGTATTTCCTAATCAGTGAACCAAGGCGATAAGAACGAGACGGTGTGAATGGACTTGGGTATGCAAAATGTTCCCTTGTAGTGAACTTGCACTATAAAATGCTCCTATTGAAAGTGAGTTTTCAAACATAATACATAACATCAAGTAGCGACGGAGATATGTGGCTATATTATAACTTGTCATCTAAGCAGCGTTTGTTTTAAAGGCTTTTTCAGTGACTCGACTGGTGTCCTGTCAAACATGAAGTCACTAAAACAGCTCGAGCGAATCCTAATGTCAGAGTTCAAACTTTCTTATGTATGTAAAATTAATGTACGGCGGTTAGCCACATACTTACCAGTGAAAGCCAGCAGAAAACGGTCCAGCTGAATTAACACATCGAGATGTCGTGGAGCAGTGAGTGATAGTGAATGAGGCTGGGCTACATCGTTACATTCAACACCGGGGTTGTTTCAGTACTTCCGCCTGACGCCTCTTTTGTATGACGTGGCAGAAATCATTGGCGCTTGATAATGACGTCATAACTCGAACTTTGTCAATAAACCATTGTTTCGGTCCTTTTAATGTGGCACCTTTTACTCCACGGGCTATGTACATTTATCGGACCAGCATTGTACAAAATTAAGGTCCCATCCCCGTTCATCCAAAATCCAGTAGAGAATCTTGAAAATACTTTTAGGGGGACACGGGACTCCAAGTCCTCCCTGACAAGAAAATTACAAATCAGGGCGGAGTCGAACATTTAAGCCCCGCCCATATTTTATTTAAGCCCCGCCCATATTTTATTTTATTTTCCAAAAGAATTTGGTTATAAATAATAAATGGGTTAAAACGTTTAATAATGTACACATCTTTGTTTAACTATTCAAAATTACCTGCAACACTTTTTTTCCCTCAATGAGGACTGAACTAGGCAAAAGGGCCTTGTCCTACTCCACTCCTGTTTCCTGGAATATCTTACAAAAAGATTTGAAGCTCTCGACCTTGACCTCTCTAAGTGTCTTTAAGAATCTGTTGGACACCTGGCAGGGTCCAATGCTGACATGTTCCTGTTGTTAGTTTTCTACATTTGTCTTGGAATCTAGCTGTTTTTTGTTTTGTTATCTTTTCCTTTTAGCCATCCTATTTGTTAAAAAAAACAAAAAAAAACTGTAGTATGCTTTTTTATAACTGTTTATTGTTGTTGCTGTTGTCCATTGTTGTCATCTTTCTTTGTTGAAATCAGGTCTCTCTTGTAAACGAGTCCTCGAGGCTCAATGGGATTTACCTGTATAAAGGTTGATTGATTTTGTGGGTTGGGATTTAAAAGGCTTAGCAACCATCGCACTAGTTTGATAAAACTATAGGTTAAAAAAAAAAACGCTTTTGTTTTGGCTCAGTTAACTATATTTTATGTTTAATGTTTTTTGTGTGTACAAAATTAAGGAAGTACAGCAGTGTTACAGGAATTATGCAGAGTTTAGACTTTTTAAAGATGATTGAAATTTAGAATCTGCATTTATACAATAAAGAGTAGATAATGCATGGATGGATGGAGATAAAATTTCAAAGCAACAAATTTATTGTTTTTCATTCAAATCATTTTTTAAAACTGTTTCAGGAGCAGAACTGAACTTTTTTAAATAAAAAATTCTAAAGCCAAATTTATTTTTAAAATCTAATTAGGAAAATATGGACATCTGGCTTTGTACAGCATGATTTTGAGATCATTAAATTTAAGACTATGTTTTCAGACCCTGCAGAAACTCTGTAAAGCCAAGCCCATGATCTTTGCTCCTCTCAGAAAAGTGTTGGGAGGGAGAGATGGGCTCATAATGAAACAAAACATGAACACAAAGTAGTTAGAAAGCGGAAGAAGCTCTGTTTATTGAGTCTTTCATGTCAACATATTTTACAAAAAGCTAGATTTACAGATTGTGGTCTAAACCGTTCTTGATTTAGGCACAAAATACTTGAAAGCTCAGTCAAAAAAAAACTATCGTTTTGATTACCAGTAAATAGGTAAAAGTTTTGAAAAGTAAACCATGACCAAGAAAAAAATTGTTTAAATTTCCAAGTAAATTAAGTTGCAACTCAAAAGAACAGTGCTATTTATATATATATATTAAATTAAAACTACTTCATATAGCACCCTGAAGCAAATTCTGAGCACTAAAAAGAACACACAAAAAAGACCACAACACTTCAGCTTTTAGTGGAAGTTGGTGGGATCTTTGGGATAAGTAGATGGACACAAAAACAGGTGTCTACATTTAATGCACATCTCATCCACACTACGTTTTGTGCTGTAATGATAAAAAAAATAAAAAAAAACAATACACAGTCTCCACTTTGTGTCCATTGATATGTCTCAATTAGCAACAGATTCAGTGAAATTTGACAAATTACCCCCCCCCCCCCAAAAAAAAAAGGTTTTCCAGTGCTGTACTTTTAACAGAATAAAGTATTGGAGCAAAGACTTGTGGTCAAAAAATTACACGAAGGCCGCACAAAATAAAACACCCTAAAATGTCTTTATATATCCTTAATCATTCTTCTTGTAGAAGATAAAATAAGAACAAAGTCCAAATTAGCTGGATTTGCTGAGATACTGAAATTGTTTTGAAACAAGGAAATATACCGTTTGTGTTGAAGCACTGGAGCTTCATTCATAAAACGGATGAAGCCTCGTGAATGAGTGGCATCCAGAAAGTACAAACAGCAAGTGGAACTGCTGCAAACTTTGAACTATTTCGCATACCATTTGAACCTGATTTGAACCCTTTACAGAACAAATATATTAAGATTATATAAATAATTTACTGCTCACTTGTAGAGAGGAAACAAACAAAAAAAAAAGGAAAGCCGAGGTAAACACCCTGTGTACAAGTACAAAATGTAATTCTACCCCATTTTTGCCCATGTATTTTGGGGAACTAGTATGGGAAAACAAGCATCCCCCTCTTGTAAAACAACCAAATGAAATCGTTTCAGATGGGTAATAGAACACACTCAGCAGAAAACAACCCATGCAAGTCAAAAAACACTTTGCAGCATTATTTTGATAGAAACATTCACAGCTGACTGAAAGGCTGACCAATATTAAAGTGACATTCTCTTACTCCAAAGTAAGAAAAAAAACATGTTGCTACTTAATTCACAGTTGAAACTCTTAACACACTGATACCAGATGACCTTCATCTGGAATACAAAGCTTTCAGCCATGAGCAAAACAAGTGACCAAACATGTAATAAGAAAAGACTTGTAGTAGCTTCACCTACAAATGATGCCTCCCAACACTTCATGTAAAATATATATTTTTGTAAGTTTCTGGATGCGAAACATGCAAAACCATTTTGATAGCTAGTCCAAATCTTGACAGATACTGTCTAAGCTGGTAGTTGCAATGTGTGGCACAGGAACAATGGGCAATGCAACCGTGCAAGTCCTGATCTGCATCTACCCATTCATTTATATGTAATGCTCCAAATACTCAAGGGTGGAATTAATGATGGAAAGGCCACTTTCAACAGTCTCACCTTCTTCAGGTAGCCCAAAACAGTCCACAGGCCAAGTTTGTGATGCTTTTTAATGACATTGTTAAGTAAGTGATGACCATTGACTAAACCAAATGGGAACGATTGTAATAGAGCTTGTTGCCTCTTGGGATGATGAGGTGGGACAGTCTCCTGATAAAGCTAATCTGTATAATCAGGGGGTAGGTTCTTGTTGGTTCTGCATGCGCCTCTCTGCAGCTTCTGCCATGGTTCTAAGTCTCAGCACAGTCGAGTTCAGTTCTGCCACAGAGTCCCCTTCCAGTCTGGGCAAATCCTCCTCCTGATCCTCTTCCGTCTTGTTCAGATACCTCCTACAGAGAGACAGAAAATAAGAATCATTCTGAGAACAGACAAAAGTAGGATGAAAAAATCCCTGCATTTACCAACAAAACTGCAGTTAGGGATATTTGTATAAACTTTAAATCTGCAATCTACCCTGCAGTAGAGCTGTCATTTCTAACCCGAACCTGGAGCTCGGCCTGGCCTGGCCCGAATAATAATGTGCTTAATGTGCAGGCCGAGCTGGTGTCGGGCTTTTGATTGCATTAGCGGACACACGCAGCTGACAATCCAATTAAATGCCAACATGGCTTGCCATGCAATCACCAGCGGCACGCGGCCATTTGACCGCGCGCTGACCGGCCGGTTGAAATAAGTTTTTAAAAAGTTCAGTTAAGCTTCATATGGAACTATATTGTCAAGCAGCGATCCATCAAAGCCCGATGTTCATTCAACTGCTGCACTCAGCAGACGAGCACGGCCGATGACCCAAACAAGTGAGATCCCAAAATATCCAACGTCAGAGAAGGGTCCGTGTCTGAATAATGCAGAAGCACGGATTTAATGCGCTTTGATGGCCATGAAAGGACAAACACCCCCTCAGCTCCGATCTGCCCCCTTAGCCGTGCGTGTCCGCCGACCGTTAATAACTATTGTAGTGAACCTGGTCTGACCCTTATCTGACCTCAAATCTACCAGATGGACAGAGACTGTTATTTTCATTGATCTGAATAAGTCTGGGCCATCTGATGACTTTCTTTCTTGAATTAATCAAGCAGAAAAGACAATTCTTTATAATCATTACTGTCTTACAAATGTTTTGATAATCAAATTGTGTTAGTTCACTCAATGCTTTACAGGTTGAAAAGAACTACTCATTTTTATTTTACATAAACAGTAAGTAATGATTTTTGTTCCTCATTCAAAGAAGAAATCACCTGAATATGCATTTCTTGATTTTCTGTCTGAAATGAGTCAAGTCGTAAGTATGTGAAAGGTTGGTTTTCGGTCAACTAAAATGTTTACCGAGAAAGATGTCATGTTTAAACTTTTTCAGAAGATTACCAAGAGTGAGACTCCACGAAGTCTGGTCGACTGCAATAATCTTTTCTGTATGTTGAAAACAATCCTTGACTTTTGATAATAACTTACGTCAAAAAACCACTCCTCTTTCTGGTCCATCCACGAATCAGAAAGCTCTGAAGTAAACTCGGAAGTAAACTCATTTAAAATGTGACAACTTCCCGGTTCTAGGAGTCGAGTCTAGAGTGCAGTCGGTTCCAAAGAGTGCAGTAGATTCCATGGAGAATGGAAAAGTTCTGAAGGAGTTCAGAAGAGAACTAGAGTTATGGAGAGTTTTGGAGTTGCCGAGAATCCAGAGACGTTTGGAATTATAATTTCTGTTTGAGCTAACCACGCACGACTCTCTAAGGATTTTAGCAGTTCTCAACGGAGACGCTGATATCAGTTGAAAAGGATTCTTACTGAGGTGATCGATCATCAACAAGGTAAAACTTCTTCTTCGACCAAGTGTACCGTGGGCAAAGCTGAGATCTGACGGAGCGTGCAACTTCTGGTCAAACAGATTAAATTCCCTCACATAGTTCTCTGTAAGATAATCTCCTTTCATCTTAAACTCTTCTCTCTCACAAAATCAGTACAGATATTTTAGAAATATCTGAAGCAAAGTCCTCAAATCACCGCCGAGTGATTTGAAGTTCATTATTTGTGAAACTGTCTGTTATTATTTTCATATTTTGCCAAATTAATGTAAATGTTTGATGTTAAACTTTGATTCTGAAAATAAATGACTCCATTCATTTGATGGGTCAAAGATAATAACGTCTCTCGTTCGCATTCCTTTAAATTCAATGCACGGCATTACACAGTCAGAAAAATGAAGAACTCGTGAAAAGTATGCATAAATATATTTCATATATTTGTCATACAACAAGTGACACGTACCCACGTGACTCACTACACTATATAAGCTGTCAAAGATTAATTAAAAATGTTTGAGTTTTTTGGGGGTTCGAACCTGTAATTACCGTTAACTCATCGGGTCGGGTGGGGATCAGAAATGATGGCTACGGCCTGGGTCGGATTTTTTGCGCCCAAATGCAACTCTACCCTGCAGAGGTTCACAAACTAAAATCAAGCAATTTTCTAACGAGTTTTAACTTAATTTTCTCAAAATGTACAATGAGCTGTGAGACACAATCTACTCTGAATGCACACTTTATCTTATAAAAAAAAATATATATTTTTTATCTTCTTATGAAGCAAAAAACGAAAAGATTACATCATGTCATCTGGACCAGTTTCTTTAAGTGCGAAACGTTTCAACCCCCCATCCAGAGGACTTCTTCAGTCTACGGCCTGCCAACCAGATCTGCCCCATATCTAAAGCATATGATTGTTGTACACGAGGATTGATTGTTCTGGCTGGGTGTGTTTTGCACATGTTAAAAACCTACTTCTGAAATTCTAACAGGAGGATGGCTCGAAACACAGCAGTGAAGACTACCTATGGGACAGATCTGGTTGGCAGGCCATAGACTGAGGAAGTCCTCTGGATGGGGGATGAAACATTTCTCACTTCAAGAAACTGGTCCAGATGACACGATTTAACATTTTTTGTTATCTACCTGGATGACTGAGATTACAACCCTTTTTTTTTTTAAGTTGTAACATTCCAACCTGCGTGCTTGTTGAAGCAGCTCTTCTTGCCTCTGCTTTAGCATCATCTGCCTCTCCTCAGCAGACTTGGAAAAGCGACCACCTCTGACCTCCATGTTATTCAACTCATCAGGGTTCTGCTCAGCAGCTCCACTGGAGCCCGCCTCATCATCTAGTGCAGGATTCACCTGTAGAGGACCACGTTCTATAGCCTTACAAAGACAGAATAAATCTCAAAATATGGGAGAAAATCAAAATAATGTGATGTTCATAAAAGTAATTCCTCATTAATTTAAGAAACAATTAAGCAGTGAAGCACACCTGTACAGGAAAGGGCACCTGGATCCGTCCCTCTAAAATGTTGTCTGTGGTGACCTCTACAGAGCGGGTCAGCTGCAGGTCCTGCATTACCAGGTAGGAGGGCACCTGAGGGAACATCTCCTGAATCTGATGGGCCTGTTACCCACACAGGGTAAATAAAAAAGAAATAATGAAGGACTTTAGTAAATGCAAGGGGAAGAGCAAAACAGATTGTGTGGAAGTTATTAAGAAAAAAGCTCTGCGACATTAACTTATAGTTTGTGAACAGAACCAAGCTCCTCATACTTAGAATTTAATATATTTTAGTCAAATCTAGTTTAAATTCTCAATGTGTAAAAAAAAAAAAAAAAATTCCCAAGCAGAATTCTGAAGTGAAGTAACAATGGTAAGCATCTGCACCAAACTGTTTGTTTGCCTTCTTGCTTGCTTTTGTTCTCTTTATTTATTTAAAGGGAAACGTGCATCAACAAGCAAGAGGTTACCCTCTAAATATCCCACATTTAACCAAGAAAGACTAAATTTTAATGTATAGTTCATAAAGGTTGATGGTAAAACACACAAATAAGAGGAAATTAAATCCACAAATGTATGTAAAGCACACAAATTACATAAAGCTGAAAAACATTGAATAAAACCCAACAAGGATGCTTTTGATACTTGTCCATCAAATTACCAACTGACATATTGAAATGATTGGATTTTTATTGTTTTGTGTTTTTTAAAAACATATAATCAAAATCCCTTAAGGTGTATCTGACAATTTACTAATTTAAAAAAATGATGAGAAGGAAAGAAACAGAATGTGTTCACACAACAAATCAACAAGGGAGCCCATATTCAGAAGGAAAAACAGATGCATAACTCTGATCTGTGCTGTCCGTAGATTAAACTTATCTTTACTTTCTCCTATAAAACCAAAAAATGAAAAAAAAATTAGATACTGCAAAGTGCAAACATGGGCTTACCATGGCTGTAAGCTGAGAGTTGTTGGCCTGAGCGATACCCAAAATATTAGTAGTGTGCATCACTTCCACTGAAAAACTGGGCAGCCAGCTGGCAATACGAGATCCTGTAGGATAAGTATGAATTCTCCTGCATTTTAGTCACTCTACACAACACTACTAGATCTTGTATCTGTGATGGTACAACAGACTTACCATCAAAGTGGAAGAAGTGATTGTGTTGGTTGACGTGTGGCCTTGCATCTGGAGCTGCTCCAACTGGGCCAATATTTTCGTCCAAACCGCCGCCCTGCTGCTGACCTCTCACCTGAACCCCATCTCCATTAATGTTGAGGGATGTTCGACATGTTGGACATGACGTGTCTTGCTCGAGCCAAGAGCGCAAACAGGAGCTGCAGATACACACAAACATATCATTTGGGTTTAGGCGAAGGACATCAAGGTTTATAATAAAATATATGCATATGTAGCCTGTCACGATAACTAATTTTGCTGGGCGATTAATTGGCACATAAATTATTGAGATAAACTGTAACACCGTTTCAAATTTGACAATAATTAGTAATTATTGTCAAATTTAAGAAGAAATGTTGGTTAATTTGTTTTGAGCGTAGCATCTTTTTTTAGACCTCCGGATGGTGGTATAAGACAGTCTGAACCGAAGGATGGATAGTGAGGGAGCGAGCACCGTGTCTTGTTGAGAAAAATGGGAGGGAGGCCCCCTGACGTGACATGAGCTGTCTCTCCCTTTTTTTTTTTGTATCACAAAATGGAGGACGCTCAGTGACTTGAGCTCTTTAGCATAGCATTTTACACAACACAGTTTTTAATAATAATTTTAAAAAAAAATTAAATCAGTAAACAAGTTTGCAGCTTCTTTTTGCAGAGAAAAACAACTTTTTACATAAAAGGTACGGGTTTCAACCGTGAATTTTGGAGCTTCGACAAGACGGAAGTTTTTTGTTTTTTATTTAGCCTGTTGGCTTAGCTTGTAGCTTAGCTTCTCAGCTTAGATGCTTTTAACAATCCAAAAACACGATTTTGAACAGTTAAAACAGATTTTAAAGGGAAAAGAGAAAGGGAGGGGTCAGTGAAGAGCACCGGAGTTGAGCCTTTTGTCATCCAGTGTCTTTAGTAGAAACAAGAGAGAAACACAAACTATTTTTGTTTACTTGTGGAAAAGATGACCACATGGGAGTTTGCGTGCTGTCAGCATGGCATCCCAGCAAATGGCACAATCATCATTATTGGCTGCAAGCTCTTCTCCAGTAGCAACAGCAAATCTGCAAAAAATTACAATATATACAAATGTTCATAAAACAAGTCTCAATAAAACATAATATGACTGACTAGAAGCTAAATTACTCTGGTGAAAAGTAAGTATAACAAAAATTTCAAAGAAACTACTTAAAATACACATTTTTCTTCCTTTTTTGGTGCAGCCATCAAAAACAAAAGGATTATTTTTCAACAGGACAGAAAGCCATTGAGTATCATTTCATCAGTACCTGTATAGTGTAACATGCAATCCTTTCATTTAAAATAATACAGTTTAAACAATAGCAAGCCTGAATTTTCTTTTTTAACATTTACTTACCTGGCCTCCATGTTGTTGATGACACGCAGGTAGTTCTTGTGTCTTCGGATGCGACGCTGGACCTCGTGGAAAAGATATCGCAGCTGCATAAAGATAACCAAGCTGGCCATGGACAGCCAGATGTTACCAAAAAGCTGAAGAGATGAATATGCAGACATAAAACATAGAGGATTAGTGAAGCAGAAAACTATATAAGGACAGACTAAATGTACAGAATAGTGATGGAATTCCACATCTATCAGCTTAATTCAGCGGCTCTGTTCTGGCTAAAAAACAGTTTTTACCTAAGTAATACTTCAGGCTTTATGGTCAGTATTTGGGCATGAGTATAATAAAACCCCTAACTATTCAAAACCATTTGATTTTTGAATACAATGTTTTTATTCCATGTTTAATACAAGTCGCGGACTTTGAAAGTAAACAGTAATATTACATATGTTAAGAGCACTTTTATCTCTGTTCTCATCTGCCCATAGGCTAGACCAGTTTGTTGAACTGGACTTCACTCTCTGCTTTTAATTCCACTATTTGACCTTTTTTTTTTTTGTTCATTCAACCTTTATTTATACAGGTTAGTCTCATTCTGTCTGTGATTATACTTTATCATACTTATTACTTATTTGGTTCAGCAGTCAGATTAAATCTATATAATGCATACAAAAATCCCAAACATAATATTTAAATAAATAAATAAGGGAAAAGTGGATCTGAATTGCAAGTCCATTCTCACTGTTCCTGATCCAGACCACCACATAATTCTGAACCCTCTCACCATGCTATACCTTACCAGCATGTGGATGTGGTGCATGAGGTCCAGAAAGAGCATAGCCAGCTCCATTATGAAGTCAGTGTAGTAGACATATGTGCCCTTGCTCTCCCAAGTTCCAGGATGGTTCAAATCCCACAGATGGATGGAGTACCTGAAGGGTAAGACAAACCTCATTCAGATTTCAAGTGACATGTAGACACGATGACATGTAGAATTTAGCATTTGAGACTGTCTGCATAAAACATAGATACAAAATAAATCATACAGTAGTATGGACAGAATTGTTATTGGCAGACTGAGCAACAAATGACAAATATATTTTTAATTATAATATAGTATAACCTTTCTTCTTCTGTCTTTGGTTAAGACAAAGCAGCAAAAATCTAAAAATGCAGCAAACCAAAGCAGCATTGGCTAAAAAATCTTTGTTATGAACTTTCATACAAACATTTTCTTTCATAGTAAGCTTTAAAATGTTGCACATCCTAATAATAACTAAAAAGGTTCTGTATTTGACACTTGGCTTGTTGAAGAGTTGTTGCATACTACTGAAAGCCTCGTGATTAAGAAAGGTGAAATCATCATGTATTGTCATCATTGTTCACATACGACGACTAAATGTGTGCTCTGCATTTAACCCATCAGACAAGAGATACACCCAAGTGGAGCTGCAGGCAGCTATCTAAGTGTTCACGAGCAGTTAGGGACACCATGACTTATGGGCATGGCAGGGCGCCGAACATGCGATTTTCTAGTCCCACATCAGCATCCCTACCACTGAGCCACAGCTGCTCCCTAAAGCAGCTTTTTACACCAGCGGTAATGGAATCAGGGGAAAATGAACATGGTTGTTAACATTAGTCCATTTTTGTGCCATTAATATTGCTGCAATCTGTGTGCATGTGCTATAAGACTTTAAACAAACTTACCTCATAATGACATGTCCAGTGCGTACTGTCACCAACAAACACTGTGAAACAAAGCAGAAGTACAGATCAAAATAATGCATTTTTTGTGAACTACTTCCCATACTAAAGCCCCCGGTATACTCGCGCATACGGCATGTCCACGCAAAGCTCAATTGTTACGACCGCAGTGTCCCACAATAAACTGCCCGGTGACGGACTGTTTTGTACGCAACACCAATGTATTAAATTCCCCTTCTTCATCCCTGATCTGGCCTTTTCTTTTTTTGCCAAAAGGCAAGCGATCTTTTCCTCCTCCATTGATGCAATGACTGAAATGGTGAGAAATGAAGGAATTTGTCACGAGCGAATTAAAATCAGGTCCTGCACGGCTGCTGGAGGGTCTGGAGAATTCCTGGTGAGCTGATCTGATGTGTGGGCTGCAGGGCAGCGCTCCCTATTTTTTTCTTCTTTTTTTTTTTTTAGAACTTTTTATTAACATCCAAAAAAGTTCAATCTGGTCCTCTGGACATTCAAAAAAAACAAAAAACAAAACAAAGCAAAAAAAATCTAGAAACGTTTCGTCTCTCATCCAAGAGACTTCCTCAGTCCGAGGTGCTGTTTTCAGCTCAGTCTCTTAAATAGCACCTTCACAGAGTGGATCAACCAGTTTGCTGCTGACAACCAAAACCAGCTGATCACATGCTCAAGAAGGACCATCAGCCTAACAATGGGTCATTAGCACACTGATGGCTGTTTACTACTCACAGAGGGCTGAGTGATACTAGCAATCACAGCATTGTAAGAGGGGGACAGTTGAACCCGGAGGCCTCCACCCCTGTTTAATGATGGACGATTTCTTTTCACAAAGATGGCCTCCTTTACTACTGAGCTGAAAACAGCACCTCAGACTGAGGAAGTCTCTTGGATGAGAGACGAAACATTTCTAGATTTTTTTTGCTTTGTTTTGTTTTTTGTTTTTTTTGAATGTCCAGAGGACCAGATTGAACTTTTTTGGATTTTTCTACCTGGATTATTGAGCATGCATCAGGATATTTTTATTAACATATACACACAGAACACCACTGCGGCTGCCTGCCAGCTCTAGGTTTTTTTTTCCGACCTGTCAATCAATCCAGTAGGCATGTCAGCAAATGACCAATCGGCGACCTCAATTTACCCCGAAGGTAAACGCCCCTCGTCTGTGGAGCTGCTCTGCAGCCGCTTAGGGTGGACGCTCGAGCATGAAGTCTCAACCCTCTGCACACAGTGTGCACAGTTTCCGCGCGGCTGACAGGATGCGGGAGTATACTGGAGCCTTAACCACTACCACACCTAAATCTACAATTTGGCTTCCATACAAATATATTGATCCAAAATCAAGATATCACCATACACATGAAGAACTAGACTCAAACCTGTTATTACAGATAAGAAAATGCCAATTTCATAATAGCGATGACAGAAATATTCACCTAACATGTATTGGCTAATACAGACTGCCTATCCCATGTGGTCAAAAAAGGAAAACATCCATTGATGGCAGCAGTCTGCATTTATCTCTCATGTCTAAGGGTTTGGACTAGCAAGTATAATTAGTGGCTTAGCCAAGTAACCTCATGCTCAGTTCTAATTTTTCAGATTTACAAATTTGATTATTGCTTGCTTCAATCCATAACAGATTATAACAGCAGCAAACTATGCTCACCTGCTCTGTAGTAGGATTAGACAGTAATGTAGCAATACTGAGGCCTGTGGTACCTAATAAAGCAAGGATAAGCTGAAACTGGGTAGTTACAACTGTGTATGAAAATTACGTCAAGTATGACTTCTTTAGGTGCCACTTTAACTGTCTTTGTGATGATGCCTTATGTTTAGGATGGAAACCTTGAGTGAGTGTAGCACAAGGCAATTTTATAGCTTGTAAAAAAACTAAGCTATTCTGATATGTATAGGGTCTCTAATTTAAGAAATCTAGATTAATTGTCTATTAGAATCCTATAAATGAGTCCTTGAGACTCAGTGAGACTAAACTGTATAAATAAAGGTTGAACGAGATGCCTTCAAATCACAAGCAGCATGAGAAGCAGTATCAGGCTGACTAATTTCTTATACATAAAGAGGTAGTACAAAAATGTCTTAACTATACATATAAAGTATTTTTGCTTGTTTTGTTTTGTTTTTGGTGAGAAACGCATGTCTCTTCATTAATGAACTTGTGAATAACAGGTTCTCACCTCTGCTGCCATAAAGGAAAGGGTGTGCATGCCATAAGAAGCTCCTAGCAGCCCACAGACCACAGCCAGGCCACAGCAGTCCAGGAGGAGGGAGAACAGCAGACAAAGTACTCGGACATGGCTGTTCATTGGAGTCGAAGGCGAGAAAGACAGCTATAATGAAGAAAAGGCAGGGTATTAGTATGCTGCGTTTCTCACCCAATCCTCTTTTTCTTCTCTTTCTGAGGAAAATTGGAGCCAAATTGTAGGTCTTTGTGTATGCTCAACCAAATCACATATTTTTGGGTAAAATATATTATATATGCACAGTTTATTAGCGTCTCAAGTTTTTCTTGTATTCAGGAAGCAATTACATTTTCCTGGCTGAGCTGAGTTGGTTCCATTGTAGTGAAATATTATCCACAAGACAGTGTTCGCACAATAACCCCTGATGGCTGATCACAAAAACCACAGACAAAACATTAATCGGAAAACAGGCACTACAAACATTAAGTTTAAACTTAACATCAGAGATTCTTAACTTTGCTATCAGAAGATCTAGGAAGAATACTTTTCCCCCCAAAGAGTGCTGATGCTTTAACCTGAAAACTTCAGGTAATTCAGCACAAAACTGAAAATTCACAACTAAATCAAGATAGTAACCCAACTCATTTGAATTTATTTTCATCATATTTGTACTTTTAGAGGTGTTTAAAAAAATAAATCTATAAATCTATTCTGCAAGTTTATTTTAACAATTTAGATTGAGCTTTACTAACAAGGTATCCAACTTCACTCATTACAGCACATTAGTAAAGCCATCTAAAAATGAAAGCTTCACATAAAAACTGCATAATAAAAATTACCATAATTATTATTGTTTTATTAGTAAACCTTTGGCTTTTATTATAAGTTGACTCTCTCCAAAAAGCTGCATTAAAATGTCTCATTTGGCCTTAAGAAAGATAAATGTGTCAAGTCTAAAGCTCATTTGTAATTTCTAAGCTATGAGAACAATTGCTTTCAGAAACTATTTACTTGCATAACTTTTATTTTTAAAAGTGTCATCAGATATTTAAAGTTTTATATTAGGAAGTGAGCCTCGTGCTAGCTTTAGAATTTTTTTCCTTCAGTTTTTTACAGCTATCAGTAGTTAACTTGCAAGTGCTTTAACTTGAAATATCCCTCCGTAAAAAGTCAAGACTCATAAACAAATACCTTTAATTTGTTTTGCTTGTTTTTATATATATATATATATATAAAATATTATGGAAATATTGTGCAGGCAGAAGAAACTGAAGCTAAAAAAAAAAATTTAAAAAAAGAAATAACCAACATCCCTGACCACATTCTTCTACATTAGCTTTAGGGGTGAAAAGCAAAAACCAGTAAACCTGAAATGTTTTCTCACATTCAAACATTTCAGCTGGATGCTGGCATTCTTACACAAGCCCTGAAGCACTGAAATGGATTAAAAATATTATGGAGGGGTGGTAGGTAAAAAACACAAAAATGCCCACAGAATTTACTCAAGACATCACAGAGATTTCCTAAATGGCTGTAAAGAAAAATGCACATAAAATAGATAGAATAAAAGAACAGTAGCAACAAATTTTTCAAAATACGGTGAATGTACGTGCATGTAAGACTGCCGATTCGTTGGCTGCTTTCCACCTGCTCTTATGTTGAAATGTATCAAACAAAGCAGAACAGTCACTGATGAGCTCCATCTATAATTTTGAGTGTGCTTTAAAGAAAACAGTATTAGACATCAGCCTTTGCACTCAGACATTTCACTGCACCGCTTCGCTTGTATTTCACGCTGTGACAACGCATCTACAGCAGAAGACCTCCTGCTGTGAAGTGCATGTGTAAACACCACATTTGGAAAAAGTCTGCACATTCTTCTCAACGCCTCTGATGTTTGAAAGACTGTTGTGTTTTTCAGTCATGTATAGCCATGCAAGCTTTTCCTCATTTCTGCTTCTGAATGAGAATCAGTTTGCTGCTCCCCACACAGAGGATAGTTTTAATCAAATAACTGACGTAAGAGCATTCAAATTGTGTTATTCAAACACAATCAATGGGAGAGAAATGAAGGAATTGGGCTGCTTCAAAGAAGCAACATTTCTGCTGAACTCAAATGTCTACAAAGTATTGTCCTGCTAAACTTCAACAAGCCCATAAAAGATAAACTGCTTCCAAAACAAATTAAGACTCTAAAAAGCTGTATTGTACATCTCTTTTGTACATGCTCAAAGTAAGTTTAAATCAACACCTCAAACAAGCCTCCTTAATATTCATAAATAGCCAAGGAAGGACTGGAGGAGGACTATAAACTCACTTTTATTACAGAAAACATTTCAGGATCTAATTGTGAATTTCCAACAAACCGAAAGACACTGCAAACATGTACTAAAAGATTCCCCACCTCATCTAAGAAAAAAAACTAACAAAAAAACACTGAATCTTTCATCAAGAAGTTGCTCAACCTGAATGCGTTATCTTTACCCTAAAGCTAAAAAGCTGCAGTAAAATGGAAACAGGAAAACAGCTGGTGTGAGCACAGAAAACTAGCTTCAGATAAATAAAATTAAAAAAAAAAGAGCTTAAATGAAAGCAGACCTGGAGCTAAGCTCAGAAACAAGAACAAGCGCACAGTTGTGTTGACAAAAATGCATGTGCAACATAAAATACTTCCACAAAAATGTTTTGCTGTGCAGGTTGTGGAAGCTACATTTACACTTTGCAAACCAGTGTTACATCATAACTTGCATAAAACTTGCAGCTTGTATTTTTTTTAAATGTTAAAAATACTCCTTCCAAGAAGGTAATTAAATCTGATCTCCCCACCCCCTCCCCCATGTCAACCACAATCTTATACAGGGGGCTTGTTAACGTTGTGACTGAAAAAGTATCAGAAGGCAAAACATGCCAGATGAGCACGCTATTAATAGACGTGGAGCTAGAATAAGTACATCTGCACGCAGACTTTTAGGGGGCTGTAAAAGTGTACAAAAGAAAATGTGGAAGTTTGAAGGTTGAGTGTTATCAAAATGTGTTTTGTTTACCACATTGCATTTGCTCTCAGCCAAGACTGTTACTCAATAGGTTCATTGTATTAGCTTTGTAAGAATGTTTGTTTTCCACAGCTATTTTGTCTGCTCCTCTTTGGTTTATTGGTACATACGGTGTATCCGGACAGTATTCACAGCGCTTCACTTTTTCCACATTTCATGTTACAGTTTTATTCCATCCATCAGTTGTATTAAATTATCAGTAATCTCTTTCCTCAAAATTCTACACACAATAACCCGTTATGACAATGAGGAAAAAGATGAGATTTTTGCTCAATTATAAAAAAAATAGAACACTAAGAAATCACATTTATGTAAGTATTCACAGCTTCCCTGAAACTCAAAATTAAATTGTGTTGAGGTACAAATCTGGGGAAGGATAAAGAACAATTTATGCTGCTTTGAATGTCCCAATGAGCACAGTGACCTCAGTCATTCGTAAATGGAAGAAGTTTGGAACCACAAGGACTCTTCCTAGAGCTGGCTGGCCATCTAAACTGAGCAATCAGGAGAGAAGAGCCTTGGACAGGGAGGTTACCAAGAACCCGATTGTCACTCTGTCAGAGCTCCAGCGTTCCTCTGTGGAGAAAGGAGAACCTTCCAGAAGGACAACCATCTCGGAAGCAATCCAACAATCAGGCTGTATGGTAGAGTGGCCAGACGAAAGCCACTCTTAATAAAAGACACATGGCAGCCTGCCTGGAGTTTGCCAAAAGGAGCCTGAAGGACTCTCAGACCATGAGAAACAAAATTCTCTGATCTGCTTTTCAAAGATTGAACACTTTGATGTGAATACCACTGCCAGGTGTCATGTTAGTAGAAAACCAGGCATCACTCATCCACAGGCCAATGCCATCCCTACAATGAGGCATGGTGGTGGTAGCATCATGCTATGGGGATGTTTTTCAGCAGCAGGAACTGTCAGGACAGAGGGAAAGATGAATCCAGCAATGTATAGACACCCTGGATAAAAATATGCTCCAAAGCGTTCTTTACCTCAGACTGGGGCAACGGTTTATTTTTCAGCAGAACATCGACCCTAAGCACATGATCAAGATCTCAAAGGAATGGCTTCAGCACCACTCTGTGAATGTTCTGGAGTGGCCAAGCCAGAGTCTAAACTTGAATCTGATTGAACATCTCTAGAGATATCTGAAAATTGCACATAGATGTTTCCCATTCAGCCTGATCATCTTGAGAAGTACTGCCAAGAAGAATGGGACAAAACGCCTAAAGATAGGTGTGCTCAGCTTGAGGCATCATATTAAAAAAGACTTGAGGCTGTAATTGCTGCCAAAGGTGGATCAATAAAGTATGTATGTATGTTTTATTTATTCATTTCATTTCATCCAAACAACAAATATAATACAATTTAAAGAAAAGAAAAAAAGAAAAAAGATTAAAGTATTAAGCAAAGGCTGTGAATGCTTGGATAAATGTGATTCTTAGTTATCTATTTTTAATACATTTGCAAAAATCTACAAAATAATCTTCCCCCACATCGTCATAATGAGGTATTTTGTATAGAATGGTGAGGAAAGAGATTAGTTAATAAACAATTTGGAATAAGGCTGTAACATAACAAAATATGAAAAAAGCTGTAAATACAATTCAATTCAAAAATACTTTATTAATCCCAAAGGGAAATTATTTGTTGTTGTAACTCGTTTCCTCATTTCATTAAGAGATGTTATAGATACTGATGGTTGTAGACTGCAAGGATCTCTTGTAAAGGTCCATCCCACAGTGGATCCTAAGAAACTGGCTGCAGATGTCATCCGATCCGTCCACCCAGACTCGGATGGCCTCTCAATTCCCCAGGGCTGTGGGACCGCCCGAATGCCGGGCAGAACTCCTCCCAGAGCGATGGCCACTCCTCCCAGCAGTCTGCCGAGCTCCTCGTCACTGTGGACAGCTAACTGTAGGTGCTGAGGGACGATCCTGTCCTTCCACTGTCATGAGCCATGTTTCCTGCTAGTTCCAGGATCTCAGTGGTCAGGCACTCGAGCACAGCTGGCAGGTAGATGAGAATGCATCCACAGAACATCCTTTCAACTCATTTGAGATTTGGGGCTGTAGTTGAGATATTATTTGAGCTTTTGAGATGTTAATCAGCTGCTGTTGGTTGTAGAAAACTGCCTTGTTGCCATGGTTATGCATCATAACAAATGTCTTAAACTAAAAAAGTTTCAGTAAAAATCCTCCCAGCTGCACAGCATCCGATACCAGAGGAAACAATCGTCCAAAAAAAGTGATTTACATCCAGAAAAAGAGGAATTAAAGTTTCCAAAAGCAAAATCTCAAAACAGAGCTGCTCCAACATGCAGCCAACTTGAGCGGCACAATTCTAGAAGTTTTAGAATACTTTCCGGATGCACTGTAACCAAACTAGAAGTGATGACAAGCACCAAGGGAGGCGTTCCCTCTCAAACAGAAAGGAAAAAGAAAAAAACATTTGTTCATTTGTTGGCAGATAAGAGTGGCCTTCACACAGGGAAGATCTATCAGTGCAATCAAAGTTTGTTGGATCAATAATAGTTGACAATAACTCTGAAATTGACCGCGGTACTAATTTTAGCACGGCACGAATCACATTAGTCAGCAAACTACTGATCTTCACCTTCCTTCATTAATTTAGAACTACATCTTCAACTTGGCATCAGAACAACACTGACATCTGTATCGGACATATACTGCTCTCAGTGATGGATCCAAGTGGAGCATTTGGCATATTCGCCAGCCAAAAAATCATTTTAAATGATGTGCAGACTCACAAGGATATAAGTGCTGTCATGTAAATGACGCCAACCAACTGAAACAACTAACAACACAACCAAAGTAGACAGATGATTATGTGGCATTTACAGCTGAAGACAAAAAATAGACCAAATCAGTTTAGTATATTTTGTTTAATCTCAGCCCTTGCTTACTATCAAGTATGTAAAATGGGGATGGCTTTAGTGTGGACCGAACTTAGCAAAAGGGCCTTCTCCTACTCCGCTCCTGTATCTTGGAATATCTTGCAAAAAAATCTGAAGTTCTTGACTTTGACCTCTCTAAGTGACTTCAAACATCTGCTAAGTTCGTGGCAAAAACCAAAGCAGACAATCTATCCTGATGCATGCTCAATAATCCAGGTTAATAATAGCAGAAAGCAGACAAGTTCCTGTTTTTAGTTTTCTACATCGCTTTACAATCTAGCTGTTTTAGTTTCATTTTTTTAACACTTTCATTTGTTATTCTCAATCTGTATGCTTTCTTTTATGATTGTCTGCTGCTGTCATAATTCTTTGTTAAAATCAGGTCTCTCTTTTAAATGAATCCCCAAGGATCAATGGGACTAACCTGTATAAATAAAGGTTGAATGAATTTGGGGGGGGGGGGGGGTAGTGATGCGAATTAGACTAAGAGAAAAATGGGTATACAGGAAAATGAAAACATACTTACATATTCAAAGCGGTCTTTGCAGAGCTGAACCATCAGATGGAGAAAGACCAGGGCTGAGAACCACAAACACCACATGACCACCTCCTCCACTGTCTGCACATTCAATACTCCGAATATGAAAATGAACTTGTAGAAGATGAAGTTCCAGAATTTATCCTTGAGATGCTTATAAAAAAAAAGAGAGAGATGCTTTTATAATCTACAAAACCACTGTATTTGTTGGGAATAATGATTGCAGACATTTAGGTAATGTGTTAACAAAGACTCACTTGCTTCTCACTGACTCTAAGCGGACCAAACACCACAAACTGGATCATTTTAGCGACTAACATTAAAGAACAGCAGAAGGTATTGACCAAGACCTGTGAAAACGCAGACAATATTAGTTCTGGAGCAATATTTGCATTAAAAAAAAATACTTGCACAGTGAATGACACTTACCCATACAAAGAGACTGTCAGTAACAAGATACCACAGGACGGTTCTTGCCAGTTCTGTGTTAGTGATAGCATGATTGTTTAGATGTTCCAGGTCGACCTCTGAGGGAGCTGCTGGTGCATCCTCCGTTTCCAAGGCCCCAAAGCCCGGGTCAGTCGTGACAGTGGTGTAAGCGCTGAAGATGCTGCCAGCCAGTAAAACCACACTCAGTGCTGTGTAGGTCTGCAGGCTGGGCCATGGAAACCTCTCCAAAAACCGCAGAGGCATCGCAGCGTTCCGGTCCACCTTATCGCTGCTTAACTGTCACTCTACCTGCCTGAGAAGGGAGACGCTAGTTAGCAACGGTTAGCCAAACTTTACAGAGCCGAGCGTAAACAAACACGCCAGTGCTGGTTAACTCATGTCAATAGTTGCACGATTAAATAAAAATAATAAAACAATCAGACAGGGCACATTAAATTATCTTGCTAGTCTCGTAAAAAAAATACTAAACTGACAGAGTAGGCAGAAACTGTGAGCTAACCTCTCCCCCTAACAGTTCACGGGTCAACTGACACTTCCACGGTTGAAGAATGTATTTTAGCTGAATTCAGCAAGACAGTTAAATTTGTGGCTACGCAGCTGAAATCACCAAGAAACCACAAAGCAAAACCCGTGGCAGCAAAAAGAAAGCTACGTGGGCGTTTACACGGAACATTACTACCATTTTACCTGACGTTACCCAACCAGCTAACACTAGCTCACATGCTAGCGGATGTTAAAAAACTTCAGACATCAATCAGACTTGTGTTATCGTCGTCACACAAAGTTAGACACGGACTTACGCGAAAGATCCTGGTTAATGTATTGAGCCCGGTTGTGTTTTTAGATGAGCTGCACAAGGAAAACAGCAGTCGACAACATTGTGACGTTTATCTCACCGAGCAGGCAGCTGGCCGAGAAATGACGTCATCGCGACCATTTTAAAGAGGAAGCGGTGGAAAATGTCACGACACCTGATCAGCTCGACTAAACCTTCTAAACACTTATTTACCCTCTATAAGCAACAAGTTACCAGCAAAAAATTA